GACAATGGAACCTTTAACAAACAGAATTCGTTCGTAGAATGTGAATTTGAGAAATTCAATTCTTTGAATTTATTTCCCGTTGTACTTTTGTTCGTGACGTCCAATTAGGATTTCAAGTGAGCTCTCGGAATCATTGTCCCTTTTGTACTGGATACCTCAGCCCTTCCTGCTTTATATGAGCTGTACATAGTCTTTCCTGTTGCATGTAAGCTGATAGCAGCCCAGAGGACTAGTTAGCATATAAGGCGGCGAATACTGCTAAATTTGGGCTTAGTACTCATCATTACCTCAACACTTGGAGAGTTTTGATCAAGCCTGACGAGGGTTGCTTGCAGGCCACTACGTTCATAGGCAGAAAGTAGATTGAACCGTGGCTGATTTCACTTTCTCTGTCACAGTAGATGAGGCTTCATTCAGCGCTGCAATGGAACTAATCGTACTTGCAGAGTTCTGATGATGTGGCGCTCATCTATTCACACAAAGGTTCAACAAATCTCTATTCAAGTTAATTTGTGTGGTACCAGTGGAGCGCTATCCTTTGTACCTATCCTTTCTGCACTGCTATGCAAGCATGACTGCATGATATGTGGTCGTGATCATTCATTAATTGGTGGTTACGAATAGACAAGTGCGCGCTTTTGAAAGTAGGAAAGTTAGAATACGATGTGCTGTCTAAGCAAAAGTCGTCGGCGTTGATGATTCCGGAGCAATGCTCTAGTGAAAGAATGAGGTTCACAATAGTAGAGACAACGTTTCTAGTCAGACCATTTGCAATACCATATAGCAAGAATGCAGTGGAGACATGGATTACAACTGACAATAAAGCGGCTTTTGATGGATCAAATAGTATAAAATGAAATGAACGTGGCTAAGATGGAAGTAAAAGTAATACGGAGATGTTGTCTAACCCATTTTGTGCACAAAGTAAGTTCCCTTGGTTATTCGTCATGAGATGTGCGAGATGAGCGTAGAGCGCCATTTTTAAGAGGCAAATTCACAAACAAGAGAAATGTAAATAACGAACACTAGTCAATCGAGAACGTCTAACAACATACTTTTTACATGAATTTTTTTGATGCTTTATCCGGATCATGGAAGATACCTGATGTTGGCAGCATGGCAGCAGCAAATTAAATTTCTCATTATTCACTATGGCATTCGAAATATAGTGCCTTTCGACTACTAAGATCGCGTTTCTGTCCACTCTTTCCTTTTCAAATTGTAGCAACTCCAGCAGTAGCAGAAATAGCTGTTACCTCGTTTTCAGATAATGGGTAAATGCGGTCTAAGAAGTGAGATCTAGTGAACTATGAATAAATCCATATATGGCATGTCTGGTGCCGACCTGCTTGAAATGTAATATCAATTGATTCCAGTGAATCAAAGTGGAATGTTTTGGGGATACGAATGAAGAGGACATGTGGGAAGTTTACTCGAGGACAATCGAAAAGTAGATTTAGTTGTTCTATTGTACTGGTAACAGCATATAAACTTTTCTCAGTTCATCACCTAATTTGTCCCATAGTTTCTCAGCCCGGCCTCGAAAGTGTTGTTTAAAAATAGAGGGCGCAAAAACAGAGGTTTCGTTTGCGCAATCTACACATTAAAGTATTCGTAGAGTGTTTTGTTAGGAATTCGAGTGGACCAAATATCTGTCAGTCAGTGATTTGCCCAGTAAGTGGACCACAAAGGTGATTGGTAATTTTGATTACATTGTTCACTAGTCTGATTGTGCGTCGAATATTAAATAGAAAGAAAGAGAAAAGCCCATTGAGGCTTTTCGATCAACTTAGGTTCGTCTGTCCGTTTGTCTGTTTCTCTGTTTGTCTGTTTGTTGGTTGTCCCTAGCCATCATATGGCGCCACTTAGAGATCAACTGGAACAGCTCACACAGGTTGGAACAAGTGGGAAATGAGCCGAACTCCTTGCGTACACGTGACTCAAGCCAAACGTCGCCCACTAGAGGCGGGGCGTGCGCGAAAAACCTATAAATATAAATGGCGGAAATTGAGTTTGGACAAGCTTATCACGCTTTTTGCGCAAAATTGCGCAAAATTATATGGCAAACGAGACACTTGATTGGAATGCTATCAAGCGCCTACTTCGACGGGTGAGGATAAATGACCAAAGTGCACATGAATTCCCGTTTCGCTTTCAGTTTTCAGTGAGGTGCAAGTTTTCCACCATGGTAAGGAGAAAACAAGAATGTAAATGATTTCAAGACCCTTTCTTGATTTTTTGCATTGTCTTTGTTAATATATGGATAAGCGAGTGCAATTGGTTGCCAAATGCAGTTCGCTAGAGATGTGCGCTCTCGATAGACGGCTACGCTATTATTTAGGGTGGGAGAACGGTACTCTCCAATTTTTTTTTGAAAAGGATAGTTGTGTTGCTCTGGCGATGACGTTCCATCTTATATTCAAAGAAATTCATTTGTCAGAAGCCGTGAGACGCGCACGGTATCGTGCGCAGGCCGACTGGTAATATCCTACTTTATATAATTAGCTAGTGTGTCTGCGGTTGTGTGTTTGTGTGTGTGTGTGTGTGTCTGTCGGCGTGTGAGTTTGACCGAAGATGCATAACTCCTGTTCCTCTGGACCTATAGCGTTCAAATTTGGTAGGAGTACAGGCGACAGGATGGAAACCTCATGGCAGGCAGCAGGACCAGACTCTGCGTAATGGGGTCGGGGTGGGCGCGATAGAAATCTTCAACCGTAAGTTCACAAGTCCTTCTTACCTTGAGCTAGAGCGTTGAAATTCGGTAGGAATACAGTTTTTAGAATGGGAACACTCAGGGCAGGTAGCAGGACCAGACTCCGCCCACAGGGAGAGGGTTTTGCGCGGAATAAATGGCTGAGCGGAAATTCATAACTCCTGTTACCGTGGACGCGAAGAGTTCGAATTTGGTAGGATTACAGCTTTTCGTATTAATAGTGGAACCTCGGCATTCTCATAAGTGATGTAAGATATGACGGGATCGTAGGTATTCGGTGACAGAATACGATGACAACTGATAAGAGAGAATAAGACGACTAAGAGAGCAGGAGCGACCTACTGCTTGAAATTCTAACCCTTGGGTATTTACGATGTAGCTCTGGCTGTTCAGTATGTTTCATAGATTACGAACGCTGCCCAGCAAGGTTTGCGACTCAAAGAAGGATCCTTCTTGTTCGATCTCATTTGCGACAAAACTTAATCGACTGCGAGTAACTGGAATACTCAACTTATAATATCTCTGTGAAGAAAAAGTTCCAGTGATAAAGACATCTGATGATGGTGAAACATTGTAAGTACCGCCTAAAGCTTAGGTTGCCTAACAGCAAATCTTCAACGGTATTTATTTTTGGAAAGATCGAGACTTCCACTTAAAAACGTGAGCACATACTTGCACTGAATACAACATGCATTGCCCTGTTAGTCCTGCGTCAGACTTCATGTACAGAAAACTATTATTTGTTCCAGATAAGGGGGAAAAAGATAGCAGGTTACTACAACTTTGTCGAAGATAGAAGAAAGTCCGGAGTTAGCCGAATGAACCGACTGGCGCCTACAGATACCGAATGTGCATTCAGAACGTCCTTGCGATTAATGAGATTCGAATGCGGAGGTGTATTCAAAAGCGGGATTTATCAACGCCGGAAACTTTATCGTTTCATCCTTTTTTGCAGTGCGCCTTCATATGTGTTGGTTCCATCAATGAAGTTTGAAGCTTAAAATTCGCTGCCAGAAAAACGTTTTGTGAGTTTCTGTGTTCATGCTTGTTTCTGAGAGTTCCGGCTGTTGCTTTGTTCAAAGCATAATTGAAAGTCAAGGGTGGTTACGAAGCACGCCTTGTAAACGGGAATCTATTTAGAAGCGGCTTCGGGAGAGTGTGACATTGAGAAAAACCGCTAGATACCTGTCCGGTGATCTTAGAGTGCATCGAATACAAGAAGAAATTTCTTTCACTGTTCGTGGAATACATGAAAAGGATTAAAATGCCAGGAAAGCGCCAGTTCGAAGCCATAGGCAACTGCATTTTCTACGTTTCATCCCAACATTATCGTCGTTTCTTCGTTAATGAAGTTGGCGTTACTCATGATTTTCGCTACCTTGTTCAGCGTCGCTTTAAGCGAATGGCATTATTCCGGCGCACGGCGTGGATCTTCAGGTTAATATGCCCTGGACTTTTTTCTTCTCTGAAATTTTAGTGACACAATGTTTCTTCGTTATATAGTAAAGCGGAAGCAGTGTAATTTTTGACAAATCCAACTTGGTGAGTTGGCGGTAACGACTACAACAAAATTTTCGCGTAACGTCGATGAGTTTGATGCCCATTGCACTACTAGATTGGCAGTAGGTAGGGCTCGTGCCCCTTATACTGGTAGGATTATTTCTTCCAGGATCCCAGTCTTTCGCAACGACCTCTGAAGAATGTGCTTAATTCATTGGCTCAGTTTCAGGTCCTCTTCGCCGCTACGGTTACAACCGCAGGGCATTGGAGAAGCATCGGCAACGATTCCGAGATGATCCAGAGGAATCTGAGAGAGATGGTGGCAACTTCGAGCGCGATCCTCGAGATTTCGAAGAAGGCAATTTCAGTCGCCGAGGATGGCGCGGACGGGAAGGCTATGGCAGATATGAAAGAGAAGGCGATTTTGATGAGAGACCACGAGGAAGAGTAAGATCAGGCAAGCTCTTTCTTTGAATCTTAGCCAAAAAATGAGAGTAGCTGCGGTATTGTGAGGGTGAAATATTCAACGTTTATCTATTCTATCTCGTTTCCGAGCGAGCCATGCACATTTTCAAAGCGATCTTAGTTGCATTGGGAACTGATGTATGTACAGTCGGACTTACTGTAGCAACCAATGTAGAAATGGTCATTCATCATTTATCCTCACTCGAATTCTTGCACAATCTAGCGATTCCTGAGAGATTCATTTCACAAATTTCCATTGTTGAGTTCTTCCATCTGTTGAAGAACCTCTCCTTGTTTTAAGTAGTGTTCCATTTGAGAGGTGGTAACTACTCAGGAAGGTTCATCTCCTGGGTGGCAAGTATATTTCTCATGTAACCCGTTCAAGAAGAGAACCGAAGACGGTATAGATCTGCTATGAATCTTCCACGTTCTTTTTATGAATTACAAACGTTACTTCAGATCACTCTCCTTTGCGCTTAGCTTTGAGCTCAACAGCAACGTAAAGGGGAAAACCAAAAAAGAGCGTTTCTGAAATACATCTTTTTGCTGGTTTTTCGAAGAATCCCATAATCTTTTCTTAGCCTTAAAGAAACATCGTTCACCTTGCTTTTATTTTTTTTTCCAGTTTCAGAGCTGAGCTTCATCGAAAACACGATCCCAGGCATGGGAGTCGCTCACCACGTGCTCGACGGCATTTTCGGGCGAACTGTATTTGATCGCTTCAAGCGATGAAGTGAACTCCTCATCTTCTTGTAGTCTGATAGCCATCACGTAAGGACGCATGTTCCTAGTTCCCAAAAATCCGGTTGTTTACATTCCCAAGTGATCCGGTTTGCATTCAAATTCTTTTTGAGGCATTTGCAAAGAGGGCGTTCCTCAGCGTGTATCAATTTCATGTGATAGTTTGCTTCGATATGTGTACAGTACCGTTGAAACGTCTTTTTCACTTTGACTCTGGATTAGTTGTTTTGTATATTCGGATGATGAACAGCAGAGCTGCTGTAATAATGAAGGGCAATCGAGTTTCTGAAATGAACCTGCTGTGTTTTGAATCCGAAGAAAATCTATTAAATACCAATAAAAGTATAATTTGACTGATCGAAGCTAGTAAGAGATGTTCCTGGGGCATTCTGCTAATATCACATGTTCCTGGGACTTTCTGCTAGTATTATAGTTCTCTTTAGCCTGAGGGTGTAGGATATGAAAAGCGGGCAGCAGAGTGGTATAGTCACTACAATCTTCCCGATGTTTCTTGAGTTTATAGTTTGAGTGTGTATCCTTTACACGACAGGAGTTCGACTCTTTCCCCGACTAACTGATGAAGTACACAAAACATACGCAAACACAATAAAGTGCTGAAGTGCTTTCTTTTCAACGCCCGTAGCATTGTAAACAAAGTACATCATTTGCATATGTTCCTGAGTAAATTTAAACCCAATATTCTAACAATAACTGAGACGTGGATGAGCTCACAGATCCTCGATACTGAATTGACCGGGGGATTCCCATATACTGTTTGTAGGCATGACCGTAGTGGTAGGAGAGGAGGGAGAATCTGCTCTCTAGTGAAGTCTTTTCTGATAATCAAAGAAGTTAAAGTTGGTTTGGAACTTGGTCCGGAACTGATTTGTATCAAACGTTTGAACAGTGTCTCTTTTGCCTCTTTTGTAAGACTCATGGCAGTACAACGCCCACCCAGTACCTCTACTACCCTCGATGATGCCTTTATCGGACTTCTTTCGGACCTTTGCTCTGCGCGATCCCACACATTAGTTATGGGAGACTTCAACCCTAATATTGACTGGTCGAATAAGCGCCCACGAAATTTTGTCGCTTTCAGTACCTTCGCCTTTTTGACACACTTGGCTTCGCACAGTGCGTTACAGAGGCGACCTATAGTGACAAGATAACAGACCTGATCTTATGTTCCTCTCAGATTGTTACCCGTACTTCCACCCTGCCCTCGTTCCCCAGTTCTGACCATAACGTCGTGGCCTTCGAGTTGGCTCGAGAAATATCTCTACCGCAGTTAGGTCCTTCACCTAACTTTGGCAGTCGTGACTACCGAATGTTAGATTCAGTCTTTCTTACTGTCGACTGGTTCGTAGTTTTCACCGCATTGATGACGTCGACAAAAGATTTTGTAGAAAAGTCTACTCTATTCTCGCTTCTTTTGTTCCTTTCGAGTTTCCTTCTTTATGTAACTTAAGTTATCCTACTTATATCGAAAATTTCTGGCCCAAAACATACGTCTTTTCCGTATGCTTCCTAATCCGTTATCATACATTATACAGAAAGGTTTGCTGAGACCTCGACAGCCGTGTCAAAAAATTTGTAGAGAACAGTGACAAACGGCTGTCGGTCAAGGCTGGTTCTATTCATCTGTTCCGCCGAGTTAAACAAAGACTTAAGTCGTCTCCAAAGCTGGCTGTGCTTGCTGATTGCTTCGGGTCTCTCTTTGTTTCTGGTGAGGAGAAAGCCGAAGCTTCAGGTAGCTACTTCGCCGGTGTTTTTTCCTCGGATAACTCTGAGAATGTGATTCGGGCTAGCAATCGGTTCGGGATTAATCGTAGATTGTCTCTGATTACCTTTCATCCTCAGGATGTTTCCGTAATACTTACTAAGCTCAAGCCGTCCGTGGCTGACCCGTATGTTGGCATCCCCAGATAGTCTTCTATAAGTTTGCCCGCTCATTAAGCAAACCATTAGCACACATCTTCAACATCTCTTTGCTTCTCGGGAAAGTACCTAACGTCTGGAAAAAACCCATAGTTACAGCCATTCCTAAGACTTCCGACAGCCGACTGTTATCTGACTTCCAGCCTATTAACAATTTGCCTACTGCTGCCGATTAGAGACAAGTTCTTGGCTTGGCTTAACAGATTCAGGGTGTTTCCTGAAGAGCAGCATGGGTTCTTAAGCGGTGCTTCCACAGCTTCTAATCTACTTGACTCCTCCTTTGATTGGACTACTGCCCTAAATAATGAGCAAGCAGTGGATATTGTAATCATGGATCTTTCTAACGCCTTTAACTAGGTCTGCCATTCCATGCTTTTGTCAAGACTACATGATCTTGGTATCAGTGGGCAGCTGCTAAGCTGGTTCCAATCTTACCTCAACGATAGGCATGTGACGATAAAAGTTGGTCAGAGCTTTTCGTAGTTTTATTATTGTCACAGTGGAGTTCCTCAAGGTGGTGTGTTGTCACCCCTTTTGTTCCCGATTTACACTATTGACCTTCCAGCTTACATCAAAACTTCAAATTATATCAAACCTCAAATTTACGCCGATGATATTAAGATTTATGTGGCTTATGGTAAGGATAACAAGGAAGAAGCTCAATTGGCTCTTCAACGTTCTATTGAAAAGATGTATGAATGAACCACTCTGTGGCGACTCCCTCTTGACCTTAGGAGTTTTCGGTGTTGCACGTCGGTGGAGGTTCTCTTCAGGATTATGAAATAGGTGGCACCAAACTGGTCCACTGTTATTCTGCCAAGGACTTGGGGATCACTTATGATCCGGATCAAAAGTTCTCTTCTCACATAGAGAGGGTAGTAAATAAAGCTTTTTCTGTTTTGTTTCTTATCTTGCGTAACGTGCTGACCAGCTACCAAAGCACTACAAGGCATACGTCCTTCCTTATCTTGAATAGTGCTCTCAGGTATGGAACCCTATGTATAAGAAGGATGTTGCTAAACTAGAAAGAGTTCAGAAAACTCTTAAGAGGATAATGTTCCTCAGAAAGTTTCTTTACACGGATTATTGAAAGATCCCTAGTTATGAGGATCGTTTGAAAATGTTCCATTTGATGAGTTTAAAGAACAGACGTATCATATGTGATCTCACTTTCTGCTTCCGTATTTTATGCAAGGAAGTCAAGCTCAAAGCCAGTAAGTACTAGGTCTTCCGACCTAGTAGTGCTAGATCTAACGGCTTTTCATTGCAAAGCAAAAGGATAAAGAGATCCAACCAGACCTTAACCTTCGATTCATTCTTTTTCCGAACAGCAAGGTGGCTAGGAAAGCTTCCGCGGGAAATTCTACAATCGAGCAATGGTAAGGTCTTTAAAGCCAAATTGAGGATGCTAAATTTAGCTCAGTTAATCGACTTATAAAACTTGCTCACCAACATTATGGCATCATTTACAGGTTTCGTTTGAGGCCGCTCTATTTCATTATCGTTTCTGTAGCAGCTACTTCTGTTGCGGTACAAGCATGTCACATGGAGTGATTTTCCCACATTCCTATTTACTGAATGGCTTCATCCGTGGCTTATAAAATGCACTTTTATCATTTTATTCCCCTACTTCATGTTTCCTAGTTTTGTAGTCTCTCTACTGGTTCTATGTCGCCGTCGTCTCTTGGGAATCCGTTGTATAAGCCCATCTTCTTTTCTGTGCCTACCTATAGGCAGCTTCCTTCTCTTTCTTTTTTCCTCCTTTTTGTTTTCACTAATTGATCTCTATTTTTTGTTTATTCTGTAGAATTCTTTCATAGCGATATTGAACTTGCAGCCCGTCGCCACTGTTGCTGTTGCACAGGCCAATGTCCGACATCTGCTTATCTTGATGCTTCTGAGCTAGCGAAATATCCACTGAACCGCTCACTTCTTGCTAATCAGCCAGTAGCTTACAAGCCGGTTCCACGTGGGAAGTTGGCATACACGTGTGCCGAAGATCCGGCTTCGTCCTATGACTCCGCTCCTGGAAAGACTGCACCATGGCCAACTGGTGCAGCTCCTGGCCATCAGAGCTTCTTCGTTGCAGTTTTTACCATTGCAGCATCTGGATATCTGTGTTTTTGTTCTCTTATCTTTTCCCATTCTCTTATTGCAAGTGGCGTCCGATGATTTATTTGCTAGTTGTGGCACTCAGTGAAGTGTATGAATAAATAAATAAAGAAAGAAATAAATTAATACAAACACTTTTGTTTGTTAATCTAATTACTGGTTTGCAGAGGAGATTGCGATTCATGCTAAGGCGAAGATCTCCTATGCAAGAATTCAGCATTACTTTTCTAAAATTCGAAATCTCTTAAAACCATTCAAAGACAAGGAAACTACTTGACAATTTTTACAAATTGGAGCCTCTTCTTTTCCTACTAGGCGATCGGCTTTGTCTTCTGAGTACTTGATTGTTCCAAACTTTCGACCAGCTTTATACTGTCTCAGTTGTTTCACTTCGCAAAGCTCAGTTACCAATACAAATTATTTTCCAGAGGACAGTCACGTCATTTCGCAGTAGGGCCTACCTGTGATTTCATCATTCGGCTGGAATAAAAGAGATAGTGTTGATCCCCGATCACGCGTTCGGTAGGTCTTCGTTGCTGTTTCAGAATTCAACACCTGTATTGTATAAAGTATCTGGAACAATACTAGTGTTTAATTAATGCTGCCTACCGCTCAAGCTGTGTGATTAAAACAATTTATTCCATTGTTCAATTTTAATGTGAAAGTCATCCTTCTGTGACCATGACATAATCAGATAATAATCCGCAGTAGGCGATCACGGAAGTTTTCAGTCTCTCTATGGGAGCCGGGGCCATTGAAAGCTACAAAAATTCGAGTGTAAGTGATTAGTGCAAACTTCATGAAGGGAAGTTTTTTTTAAGAAAAAAATTGGAGAAAATCGCAATAGCATTGTATGGGAATAAGTCAGAGAGAGGCTATGGAAGCTCGCCATTCAGAATTCAAAAAACTTCAAAAGACCCATTAAGGGCGCAATTCCCGATAATATTAGGGAATCCATGACGAAAAATCGAAGATAAGATGGAAAATAGTGCGATGAAGGCGAAGGAAAAAGGAAAAGTTCCCGAAATGGAAAACGCTTTAAAAATCTCACATGGTTTGTGATTTGTGGGCGAAACTCCAGTCTCGGACGGGATTCGAACCCGTGCTTTCCGTGGACCGTGCTCTTATCCCTTACACTACCGAGACCCCGCTTGCCCTCGCCTTCTTAATGGCTTATACATGAGACTTTCGCTTCTCGCACTGCGGCGTTAAAAAAGCAATTAACAAAACATCAAGTCAAAACAAGCTTCAAAAATCGTTAAAAAGGGGGCAGGACGAAAATGAGACCAGAAGAATGAGGAAAAGGCCTTTGGACAAACTATACAATGTGGGCCATTGCGTACATGTGGGTCCTAGCGCAAATATCTGACTACTGTAAGCAAAAATTCATTCAGTTATAAGCATAAGTAAACAAAAAAAAATTATAAGCATAAGTGAACAAAAAACCCTGGCAACAGCAGAAATCGCTCACCCTATTCAGCCTCTTGGGGTAAGTAATTAAATAAGGGATCGCGGCAGCAAAAAGAATAATAGTTGAAAAAAGAATGGGGAAAAACATCGCCTCATCACGATCAGCTAATTGTATTTGGGTCCTGGAACGAATAGTTGCAATCTGTATCGCCTCGACACTCGTCTGACGTGACATCGATCGAGAGCGGGAACAGGGTTTCCACTATGCCCTAACCGTCTAGTTTTTATCGCGAGAGGCACTTGGGCCGGACGGCTTGAGGCCTATCGCCTTTACTATTACCCTTGGGGGCCACTAAGCATTGCTAAGGGAGAACACAGTAAACATTTTTATCGTGATCCGTGCCTCTGAAGGCACAATTCACAATAAAATGGTTTCTGAGAAATTTCCCTCCGATGAAGCTGTGGCGTACCTGTATACCATATGTGGCGCTGTGAATCGGTAAACGGCCCAGATAGGGCGATAAAAGAGCTCAGAGATTGTTTTGTGTGAGGCCACACCCATAGCCAACGAGTTTTAACAGCGTTGTAGAAGCTGCGCCATCTCGAGGAACTTCCACGTAGGAGCTTCAACTTACTTACTACGAGTCAGAGCGACAGTGAGGGCAATTTTGCACAGTTTGACTTGATGTAATTAGCTCATTGTGTGATTGCAACAAAGGAAATCTCGTCCGAATACCCATTCCTGCCATCATCGTCATGATTATCTCGTTTCCCAAACCCTATTCCCACAGGTTTTGGAGAGCATTACTTTTCGCCAAGTCGACGGACTGTCTCGCTTTTTTCGACAAACTGCGCTACTCTCTACCAACACTTCCGGTTTCACCCCAAAAAGAGTTCTACCCTCAAAATCATCGTGATGAGCGCTTTTGAATTTGCAACGTCCGGAACCCAATCTATAGACTGTAGGAGGCCGGTAGAAACAGGTGAAAAGTTCGGGCAGCAAAGCTGTGTGATAAAAAGCTTCATCAAACCATTTGGTTTCTAGAAAGCAAATAGGTAGCTTAGAAATTAAGAGGATGAAACCTCAAAGCAGGAAACATTTACCTCGTTTATTTATTCTCCTTTTGTGAAGAGGTTTTTTTTGGAGGCCTACGAAATCGACAGGAGCTCCATTCGGAAGTTCATCAAATGCTTGTTCGTTATCTCCCTTTCGCCACCGTTTGGCGGTCACAAAACCGGCAGCCTTACTTAGAGGGGTTTCAGAGTTCTTTCGAGAAACTTCGTAAGTGGGCTGAGGCTCTCCAAGACCGAAGATTTGAGACAGCCCGAGCCCACCTTGATTGCCTGATGGAGGCCATTTATCAATCGTTACAAGACCGTCCGTGTTGCCTTGACGCTGTCCGTAACTACTTAGGCTGGCGTCAAAATGAACTTGATGGTCTGCGGAATTCATCGGAGGCAGACCAAGACCTTGGTTAACTTCTTGTAGCAATTGTTCAAACGTTGTGAGACCGAGATCGTTCGCTGGGCCTCGACGATTTTCTTTAATTAAAACTCCCATGGGGCTTCCAAAACCTAAAAAGAATTAATGTGATAAGGACACTGCTGAGCTCCTGTATAAATGCCTACAGAGCTTTTGCTATTCCTAAAACTCATTCCAGCTAAGTTTGAAGGCACAGCTCACGATAATTTTGAGGTACCACTTTTAGTTTGAATGTATGTAAATCGGTCGCGAGAGAAGCTAGAAAATCCGGCTACTACAAGGCTTTTTAAAAGTAGTGAAAATGGAGGTTGTACAAGATCAATGTGAGGGGAAGGGCATGATAGGGGAGTTTGGACAACATTTAACATTTGCTTCCACGGCGCAAAGAGATGACTACATCGAGCCGTAATTGTCCAAATTTGCCTTCCACTGCAGCCATGGGTTATGACGGGTTGTTGGAACTTTCTACATTGAAGTCACTTATGTTAGTACATCTTCTACAACGCCGTTGAAACTCATCCGCTCTGGGTGTGGAATCCACGCGATACAATCTATGGCCCTCTATTATGCACTATCCAGGTCCTTTCACGACTTTATAACGGCATGTATGGTAAAAGGGGGAGCCTCGACTTCATATCATACGGAACTCTTATTGTTAGAAACCATTTTTATCGTGAACTATGCCTTTAAAAAGCTAAAATTGAGAGTGGTCGATTAAGAAGAGCTTGAGATTCGCTTTCGGAAAGCTCGTGCAACCGTGCACAGTTGGAGTGTGAACTTGGTGAGTCTTACCCAAAGAACTTCTGTTAATCTCAGAAGTTCTTATAGAGCCCTGATCTGATAGTTTCCAAGGTACCCAGCTCCACAAATGTTGAAAACAGTACTGAAACATAAAAATAACGTCACGAAAGAAAACGAACCTTGTCCTTTGTCCTCGTCAGTTTGGACCAAAGTTACTTTTCCGAACATAAGCAAGATAATGAAGACCGTTATCTCCATGGAGGAAGTGATGATGATGAGCATGGAACGTTCAAAGACACATTTTAATCACTTCGAACTTGCTGTGAGCGGGATTTTCCGACTCCTTTTTTTCTTGCGACACAATCATACGGATCTCGTTTTTTTCGATCCATCTTCAGAACTCGAGTGATTCATTAGGATGAAGTGTAATTACCAGGACGTACGTCAACTGCATCTACATACTGCTGTGTAAAGACATGGAAAAGCCTAGCTAAGGCGTGATTTGCTCAACACAAGTGGAAAACATTGTGGTTAAGCCTTGTTCTCGAATGAAGCCTCAAAAAATATAGCCAGAGTTCTATATCGATGGAATATATATTATATAGTTCATCAAACTTTTTACACGAATAGATCCCTCGAAAAATGACCGCTCAACTATTCAATATTCACAGCAACTGCTAGGCCGTAGTATGTTTGCTTTCATCATCAAACAGTACCCAAGCACTAACCGAAACAACATACCTGGTTAGAGGACAGACTATGTTTCATTTGATTACAAACAGGCTGACAGAGTCGCACGTGTAGGGTCGAAATGAAGTACTCAAACACTACACTGCAACACCGCGCACAGCTGCGTAATGACGAGTACACATGGAGATTACTGCCTTATTTTTTTTCGGCGTTCCTATAGTTTTCATATCTGGACTGATACTCCGCACTTTCGTATTTTATTTTAAAGAGTTCCTTCGCTATGCATTTTCTCATAAACGCTTGTAGTTTTTTCGACAGGATGTGGCGTTGTGGCAAGTGGTGCATTCTTACAAATGCATGGTCCTGACCACATCAATAAATAAGCACACTTGACCAGGCCAAAACTCTGGCTTTTTCCGGGTTCATCTGCTTAGTATCAGACTCGTCTGGGAGAAAAAAATCACTGATTTCTTTATCGGCTGGCAACTGGAATTTATTGTAGTATAGGCCACATACTCACCTAAAATGCAACCACTAGTTCGAATAAAAACAGAATGCATTTTCGCATTTCAGGAAGGGGCTGCTTAAGGCCAGACACTTTATTTTCTAGGTACTTCTCAGAAAATCATCAAGCGGAAAGGCATGGTCATTCTAAAAAAACGAGTAATGAGCGGAGGTGGTGTAGCAGCAAGTGGCGCACCATCTCACACGCACGGTCAGGGGCTCGAATCTCGGAATGATGTCCGCCTAGGCCAGCCAAGCCTTCCATCCCTCCGGGGTGAATTGGCACCAGACTCGTCTGGGAGGATAAAAGCACTGACTTGTACATCGGCTGGCAACCGCAAGTCATTGTGTAGGCTACATGCGCACTCATTACACCACTACGAATCTGAGTGGAAGTCGAGTGTGGGGGCGCATCATTTACTTTACTTTAATAACTGCCCACTGATGACCATGTACGGACTGAATCAGTCAGTGAGCTTGTTATGTTGCCGAAATTTTTGCTACAGGATAGTGGCAAATAATCGTGCTTATTGATTTTTCAAACCCAATTTTGCACTGATTGGAATCGACCATGACTATTCATACAGTCCAAAATCAATACCGGCGACATCATGTTGACAGTGTTATTCCTGTTAGACCCCATTATTTACTTAGGCAAGGTCAGAAGCTGCTGAGTACTGGACCAGTTTGGAACCAATGATGTACTTACGCCTTCCATGCTCTGATAAATAAAGAAAGAATAACCAAATCTCATGAAGTAAGCATGGTTATGAGCGGTCCCCTTTATGTACTGAACGAACGTATACCGCTTGTAACTAGCAGCTGATTGCTACTTATTTATTTTTCCTTTTTGTGATGTGTTACATTTGTATTTCAGTCAACATCACAATACTAGTTGTTATAATGAGCTTTTCATAGATGGCACGTGGTACACCACTAGCAGCAAATAGTCATGATTATAGTAGGGCCTATTTATTTATTTAATACACCTAAGGGTGTGCCATACAACGCAAAAGCAAAAACTGTGAGGTCATTGTTCTTTGAAAACGGGAAAAATGTATCCACATTAGCTTAAGAAAAATTGAGGATAACGCCAGACACGGCAGCAAGAAGCTAGTAAGGAAGCATTTATGAAATAATGCTGGGACCTTTCTTATTTCTCATGTAAAACAGGAGAGCTGTTTTCCCCTGTGAAAAAAGGCTTCTTCGTGTTACGCTGGCCCATTATGCCAAGAGAGGCAAGAGTAACTAGGGCTTGCTGACAACAAAGCTCAAATATGGAACAAATTCCATTCGGCACCACAGGCGAGTAGAAAAAATGAGACTTTATCGGGAGGGTTATTTGTCTGACAGGATCCTCAAACAGCCCAGTCACATAAAAAATGAAGGCCTCAACATCATCGAAAACGTACTCCACCTAGCCGGCTTCTTGCCTCAGAGAAAGAGAGAGAACAGCACTAAAGCAGCGATGAATTGAAGAAATGAACAAGTTACCCGAAACAATCTAGAGAAATAAGGCTACTACAAACGACAATACTGCTAGAAGTAAGAAAAAGTAGTTACATGGGCAATGGACAATGAGCGCTCTACGGAACAGTATAAGAAACGAGGAATTTATCGAGAGAGGCAAACTGAGAATGGCTACTAATAATCTAGCTGCGGAACTGGACGGCCGTGAATATGTCGGAGCATGTATCTTAAAGAAGGCAGCTGCAAGAAGAAACTGAAATACCGGAATGTTATAGCAATCGTAAAATATGTTCTGGAATGCCTAAAGTGCACAAGAGATCAAGCTTGCTCAATCTACTTTTAAATATCTTACTATTTGGTGCTTGAACGACATGGGGCGGAAGAAGCTAGAAACATTTTGCACAACGATTAAAAAGATTATTGAACATCAAAGATTAGACTTGGATTGAATGGCAGGATAGTGAAGGTTAAACTCACCTAATCTTCCATTGGTTGGTCTGAAAATCCAGTATTTACACGCAGACAATCTCACCTCCTTCCGAAGACGCGAAAACAGAACACAAAGTCAGACATTACTTGTCGATACTGCAAGGAATAAAGGGATAGCAGTTTCAGTCGATCACTGCAGAGGAGAATGGTTGCAGAGGGTCTGGTTCTGTACCACGGCAGTCGAGTCACTTGCACTAAACATTTATTAAGGTTCAACGGAATATCCCACAAGGAAGCCCACTCAGTCATTCTCTTCACAGACAGTCTAAGTGCTTGCTGCACTACTCCACCGTTCCTATCATCAGAAGCAGCGTAAACTTTGATATCATCAGCATAAATTTGCACGTGAACTTCCCCGCAAGTTCTGAGAAGCTGAGGCACTTCGATTGTGTAAACCAAAAAGAGTAGCGCAGACAGAACTCCGCCTTGCGGAACACCACTGGTACAGGCGTAGCTATCAGAGAAACTATTGCTGACACGAACGGTGAAACTTATATCAGAAAGATATGACGTTATCCACTTAAGGGTGTTACCTCGAATACCGTAGCGCTCCAAATTACTGATCAGCTCGGGATAACAAACTTTATCGAAAGCCTTCGAAAGGTCAAGGTGGATAACATTTACGGATTTACCATTGTTGATAGGCCTGCAAACATCATAAAATGTATAGAGGAGGTTGGTACAGGAAGAGGCCCCAGGGAGGAAACCATTGTGTTCTTCGGGAATTAAGTGAAATTTTACAAACCAGGCTAGAAGTTTATCAAACATTATCTTTTCCATCACCTTAGCAGCTGTGGAAGTGAAGCCGATGGGCCTGTAATCGTTGACTCATGTGGCTCGTAATTGTTCAGGGATGGCAGTCGCAAGTGCTCTTTTCCAAAGCCGGGGAACCTCCCCTAGAAGAAACAATATGTTGAACAAGTAAGCAAGGGGTTTGCATAGAGAGTTGTAGCACTTCCTGAAAAGAATTTGAGGTATACCTTCGAAAGGCTCACTGACAGAAGGTTTCAGTTTTTTTAATACAGTATGAACGTCAGATGGGTGGAAAATGATGTCAGGAATGTGTGTTTGAAGATTAATCGAACTATATTCTATCACACTAGGGGATGAATTGGACTCTAAGAAAACACTCGCAGAATACCTTTCCAGGGACTCCGCTTTGGCATGATCGCTATAGAGCGTGG